GACCAAAGGTAGGTGGAGAAGTTGAAGGGCATCAAATTGCCTAAGTCATTGATATTGAAGTACCTTGTAGAATTGTGATATCCCAGTAGACGCTGTGTTTGGATGGGTATACAGCTATTCCAGGAATTGATGTCACCCCTTGTCCATTTTTTTTCAAGCCGGGCAATCACTGTGAAGGTTCATGTACAATATAACTCTGTAAAGTTTACAAATGAACAAGATCATTTTCACTTTGTCGTGCCTAGCTTTGTATAACCATTCATATTGAGGTTCCTTTCCCCAGCTGAGATTTTCTTTCTCCGGCTAAAAATAAATAAAGAAATAAACGAATTGGAAGGGGGGTGACAATAATTCCTGCAATTGCTGTACTCATTCAAACTCCGTGCATGGTCAAGATGAGACCCGGACCCGGGTTCTGGCCGGATATCCGTCGGATGCTCCGTCGGATCCGGATGCCGGAAAGGCCTTCAAGATTGTCCGGTGGCTGGGTAATCCGGCCGGTTTGGTATTCGGAATGAGGGGACGGGAAAATAACGCCGGATATACACCGGATACACCGGCTATCCGGCGGAAATCCGGCGTATCCGGTGTATCGGCTCGAGTGTTGGACAAGGGGTTTTTGGAAAAAACCGATCGGATTTTATCCAATCGGTGCGGATAAAACAAAATATCCGTCGGTTCGGTCGTTGGAATGGCCTGAAGCCGCCGGATATAGTGCACAACATCAAAACCCAACAAGCGTCGGGTTTTTTTTATCGGGGCCAGACCGATTTTCAAAATCCAACAAAGTCATTGGCTTGAGTCAAGATTGCCCTTTATCAGCCTTCATCAACGTTCATATCTTCGACTATGCCACTCAAGAGGCCTCAGAAGGCACAGAGACGCCGCTTCGCGCAGTGCGGACCACCCAAACGCCCAAAGTTATCATATTCATCGTCGCTCACCGATCTCAGCAGCTCGGAATCAACCCTAAGCTCGGAGTCTGACTTCGAATCCAATGAAGACAAGTCTCCTGACTCCAGCATTACCTCAGTATCCCCTTTATCGCCTTTAAACTCGATCCGAACCCCTTTTCAATCCCCTTTATCACCTTTCAATCCGATTCAAACACCTTCCGAATCCCCTTTAATTGAACCTGAGAATCTAATTGCAACAAAGACACAATTCGAGATCGACATCATCAACAATTCATGGACACAACTCAATGAGGCCATTGAAGAAGCTTCTATTTATTATGAATCACATGAAACTACGATATCGAAGATCACCAAATCTTTCGATCTACTTGGCGAACTGCGAGAGTTTAACCATCACACCCGAAAGCTTAATCTTGTGAACCCACGGTCATCATTGATTGAGGCCTCTCTTCAAACCGTGCACAGCTCAATCCTACGAGCTCAAAATCCACCCGAAACAACGAGTGGGACGAATCACGCAGTCAAGCTTCGAGCCCAAGCTGTTCACATCCTAGTCCACAAACGCCTGATTGCCGATGGACGCGGCAGATCGACAGAGCACCCCTCGATGCTGGACAACTTCGAATTCCGCAAACGCATCACCGACTGGACAGCCGCCCACAAGACCGGAAAGGTAAGTTATAAGACTCGTCTATCATTGACTCAAACAGTAAGGAGCAAATATACTGATCCATGTGAACGACTGTCTGCTTTTTATATGTATATGTATGTGTATAGACTACTCCTGCAAGACTTGCTCACATCATCAACACAGAAATCACTCCTGACTTCCCAGATTTCAAAGACCATGTCTCAGAAATGACAGTGAATCGATGGATGCATAAACTCGGATTTGGTTGTAAAGCTTTCAAGAAATGTCTTTATTACGATGGCCACGAGCGAGCCGATGTTATTCTTTACCGTCGCAAGTATCTCGACCAGTTAACCAAACTCTGTCTTCATTCAAAAAAATATGAAGGAGATCAGCTCGACAAGATAATCGAACCAACTTTAGAAGATGCTGATAAGGAAATTGTGCGAATTTACCACGATGAATCTACAGTTCATGCAAATGAGGAGGAGTCTAGGGGATGGTTCTCAAAAGACGACTGCGATCTCCGTTTGAAATCACAGGGAAAATTGATGCATGTCTCTGATTTCATCTCCGAACCAACTGGACGACTCATCATTCCTCCTGAGACGGCTACCAGTCTTACATTCAAGGATGCGGGTGTTGTGATTTATCCTGGAAGTCAGGGTGATGCTTGGTGGGATTGTCAACAGCTAATTGAACAAGTCAAAACACGAGCAATCCCCATCTTCGAGGCTCTTCACCCCCACGCGCAGGCACTTTTCATTTTTGATTGCTCATCAGCTCACGAGTCTTTTGGACCAGAGGCACTTCGAGTTCAGAAAATGAATCTCAACCCCGGAGGCAAGCAGAATCGACTTCGAGATACGAAGATTCCAACTGACGACTTAAACATCCCCACTCACTTGCGAGGCCAGGACCAAGCTATGGTCTTCCCAGTTGACTACCCGGATGCTAAACTTGCCAACAAACCAAAGGGTGTCCGAGTGGTACTTGAAGAACGTGGACTATGGCAGCATCATAACGACTCAAGGAAGGCCAGAGGATTAAAATGTCTCACTTATCGATGCAAAAATTGCAAGAAGTCAGGACTTGCAAAGGATGCAATTGCTCGAGCTGAGCGCCTCATCAAGCATTCTGAGGAATCATTTCCTGAAGAATTTCCAGCCGAAATGCCCGAGTTAGTAAGTGAAGATGAAATTGACTGTTGTGCATTCAAGATTCTTTCAATGCAATCCGACTTTGATCAAGAGAAGCCACTTATCCAAATGACCATTGAGGAAGCTGGACATCTATGTATGTTTCTCCCAAAGTTTCATTGTGAAATTAATCCAATTGAAATGTATTGGTGTTTTATCAAAAAACGTAAGTACCTTTTAAATATATACTTTGATTTTCCTTCCTTAGAAGTTAATTATCATTGACCTCTCCTTTTTCTCTTGGTATAGGATATCGTAAAGATAACTTTACTTGCAAAACCCTCAAGGAACGAAAAGCTTTATTCGAAAAACTTAGGTGCTCTTGCCCGCTGGTCACAATCAGGCGCTTCTTCCGACATATTGATGGGATAGGACTAAAATACATGTGAGTAACATGTTTAAAAGTCATCTGCACTTTCTCTGACATGTTTTGTACAACCAAATCGCATCAATAGGGATCTCCAAAAAAGAGAAACAGATCCCGACCACCCAATCCACGTGTATCAATCTCATCGAAGGGCCCCATACCCAGCTGATATGGATGTTGACTGCTAATGAGCCAGTTTTTTCAAAAAAATATGTCTTTTTTTGTCTTTTGTCATTTGTTTCCTCATAAAATCTGAAATTTTTGCCTCAGCAACGCGAAATATTTTTTTTTTGTTTTTTTTTTCTCTCACACAACTGTGTGCCACTCAACCAATCTGTGTGTATATTTTTCATGTCAAGCTTGTTAAAAGTAACAAAGTTGTTCATTGGTGATCTCTCGATGTTTTTGAGATTGAATCCAATGAAAATTTCCAAACAGTTTTGGATTGCTGCTAATGAGCCCATTTCGAAAGTAAAATCGATTCCTAAAAAACTCGAAAAATGGCCCTGTGCATAGCTTTTGAAAAAAAACCCGACGCTTGTTGGGTTTTGATGTTGTGCACTATACCGGCCGGAGCACATCTTGAGTGCATGGTGGAGGATGGTTAGTGTGGGTACGAGGCGCATAGGGCGGTGTACAATTGAGTTTGGAGTTTTCACTGGTATCCTGTAATGTGAGTATATGAATATGTTCTACTCAGTTGGCCCTACGGGTTGTGAGTCCAATGCCCAGCCCTGTGGGTAAAAACTTTGGATTTGGGTATGGGCTGGGTTCACTCATACCCACACCTGCATTCTTGGCGCTAGATCTTTGCGCTTGTGGCAGACTTCAGGCTTGCATGGGGGTTTAGTAAGACAGGACCCTGGAAAGCCCCTTATATGGAACCATCCGACAAAGATGGTATCAATTGGGGGTCAAGATTTTGGCTATGTTGCCGACAAAAGATGTATCAATCAGCAAACTCTGGAAAAAACAGAAAAAAACTTACTGACAAAAACCCCAATACAGGTATCAATTCAGTATCAAACGGCATGTCACGGAGGTGAAACCGTGAAAATCAGCATGTTACACCGCGGGAATCAACTGGTTTGAAACCCGATTGAGCAGAATTTCGGTGTCCGGGTTCGAAATTTCCTCGAATCGTGAAACTCGTTCACAACTCGTTAGCATTACGTTCGCCGATTTCCCTTGAGTAGACTACAATACATACACTTACACAGCACTTGCAAAACCTGTGATTCCAACCGTTTGACTACATATCTCACCGCTGATCATGTTCCCGCTGAACTGCTTTTTCTTTGGTTGATCGAGGCTTGAAGAATGAGGATGAAGGTGAGGAATGGTGAAAGGGGATGTTGCTGTATGATGTGACTGTACATACACGGGGCCAGCCGAGTACAGAGTACAGCCCGAGGGGAATCGGCAAACATAATGTGAACGAGTTGTGAACAAGATTCACGATTCGAGGAAATTTTGAACCCGGACACCGAAATTCCTCTCAATCGGGTTTCAAACCAGTTGATTCCCGCGGTGTTACCAGCAGAAAAGGGTTAAAACTGCCCAAATCAAGGCGAAACCGTCGGATGTTACCAACGAAATTGGTATCAAAGGCCTCAAAAAGTCACTTTTTGGAGTGTGCATCAACCAACTTCCCGTGATTTCTCGTTAGATGGTTCCATGGGAGCTTTCCGATGCCGCATAATTTTGCTTCAAGCTTGATTCCATTCCAGAAGCATGAAGACGGAAGCATTCCGTGAGATGCCGTGTCGCTGTTCGGCGGGACCACTTTCCCGAGTGCCCCGCGGGAGCTACATACGGTCGGATCTGGTATGATATTTTTTGGTTCAAGGCGACCGCATTGTTGCAGATCCAATATTTTCTTCGTCATGTGTGGTGAGTGACTTTTCATCCTTTTTCTTCGTCAAGCAGAAATAAACTGAAACAACGCTTTGTTCTTATTGAACCCATTATCAACAGGAATCGGCGTTATCATTCAACGCACACCGAAGCAGAGTCCGAGTAACTTTTCTCACGATGATCACGGCAGACCGTTGGAACTGATCTGCGAATGCGTCAGACGGGCAATTGGACCGCGAGGTACTACTAGATCCACTCGATCGCAATAATGGACACTCAACGAATTTGCTTGCCTAGGTCCAGATGTCCAATCCGAGACCCGTGTCGTATCAGAACTGTCAGATGATTTTAACCTGGACCTACAATTCTTCGGATCTGTGCTTCATTTACGCGGATCATCTGTGACGGTCCAACCCATGAAGGGGCAAACCGGAAGTATATTTCTTTGGAACGGTGAAATATTCGAAGGTTTATCGGTGAGTGCAAGTGAACATACACCAGTGCTATTATGTCAAGATTCACTGAGGGTATCCTGCATCTACGTTCTCACTAGGTGGACGCTTCTATGAACGATGGTGAAATATTGTTTGAAAAACTTGAATGTCGTGATCGCAACGTCAATGTCCCTGAGGTCCTGCAAAATATTGAAGGACCATACGCGTTTGTTTACTATGACGCGGCCAGAAATCAACTTTGGTATGGAAGAGATCCACTTGGTCGCCGATCACTAATGATAGCTCAGGTGAGGTCTCACATTCATCATATCACTGATCCACTTCTTGTGGCCGCAACGCTGAACCCGCACTGATCACAGTCCGACATCGCAGGTGACCCAATTGTCATCGCGTCTCATCTCAATGGCCAGGATCTCCCAGGGAGTTTGGAGGTCTTGGCAGAAAGCATCTTCCTGGTCGAATTATCCACAAAACTTGATTCATTGGAGATCATTCCTGTCGCACGCCAGATCCCGAAACCGATCCTGTGCCGAAATCCCCCAGCCGATCAAGACCGAATCAGCCTCTCGGATCTCATAAAAGATACTTTGCCACTAAGTATGACGGACGCTTGTGAGGCATTCAAGGAATCTCTTGGAGATGCTGTAAGAAGACGAGTGGCAAGTATATCTCAGATCTATAGGTGTGTATGTCCTTCCTGGTATCCAGTACCGCTTACCTAGTCCCTCACTGAATTCTTTCAATAGGAATTATGACACGGAAGCCAGTGTTTCCGTCCTGTTTTCGGGTGGTCTAGATTGCACGACCTTGGCGCTCTTGGCTCATCAACACATCCCTCCGCACGAATCCATAGACCTCATCAATGTTGCTTTTGAAAATCCTCGGTCTCTATCAAATCTTTCTCAGCGCACAGAAGGTGCCATACATGACGTATTTGCTGTTCCTGATCGTAAAACTGGCGAGAGCTCGTGGATAGAACTATGTAAACTGGCTCCAAACCGGCTATGGAGATTTGTCAAGGTCGATGTAACAATATCCGAATATTTTACCCACAAAGCTCAAATCATTCAACTGATGAAACCCAATTTCACAGTGATGGATCTTGTAAGATGTCTTTTTGAGTTTTCTTGTTCTCATGAGTATACACGATCCCCCTGCCAGTACAAATGGTCACTAAAACACTCTTGGGGTTGATTATATACTTGCTGGTAGAGTATTGCTGCAGCTTTGTATTTTGCAGCCCGTGGGATCGGAACATATCTTCTACATTCACCTGATCTAACCGACGGAAACGACCGCTCGGTCTGTGTTGAAGCATATCGCTCGCCTGCTCGGGTTTTCCTGTCCGGACTTGGGGCAGACGAGTTGTTAGGTGGCTATTCCCGTCATCGGGCGGCCTTTTCGTCCCCCGAACCTCCCAATTGGACAGGCCTCATTGATGAACTTCAACTAGACTTGGATCGAATCTCTACTCGCAATCTTGGGCGAGATGATCGAATTATCGGCCATCATGGGCGTGAAGTCAGGTATCCTTTCCTCGACTCTACCGTTGTTCATAGTTTGGCTAGAATTCCGGTTCATTTGAAATGCGATCCTGATCTGGGACGTGGAATAGGCGATAAGTTATTGCTTCGGTATTTGGCTCAAAGCCTTGGATTACGTCAGGCGAGTAAGCTGGAAAAACGAGCCATCCAATTCGGCGCTCGTTCAGCAAAGATAGACGGCACGGCGAAAGGACAGGTTGAACTTGTGGAAGAAAAAGCCGATGTAGATCTATTGTGTCCCTTTAGGTTAATACAGACTGAACGACCCCGACTCACCCGTCGACAAGCCGAGAAATTGGTCACTAGACTGTATCGGACTGCCGAGGACCACATCGTTGGGCTGTCGCCTTCTGACTTGGTACTTTCGACCTTGACTTTTATCTCTGCGCCTGTTGGGCAGACTGCCATCTTGGCCTATCCTAGACATCTCGAGGCGGCTCAGAGGCTTTCCTCAAAGGCTCGCGCCATTCCGACTCCGTCTTCACCTGCCTATCGCATCGCGCCAATCACATCGAAAGGAATGGGAGTGCTTGCTTCTCGTCAAATCAAGACTGGAGAGCTGATAATCGGAGAACGACCAGCTATGATATTGCCCGAGCGATTGGAGTGTCTGAACCAACGTACCCTTGATCAGGTCCATTTCGCGATTTTTGATCAAATGCCTTTTGTCAATCAACTTGCATTATCCGCTTTGAGTTCCAATGGAGATGAACATCCGATTGTTTCAAAAATCTGGAATAATGAAATTTGCCTTGAGCTTGGCAATACATCCGAACAAGACACATCTCCATACACATACTCTGCTGTCTATCCCACCATCTCACGATGCAATCACGATTGCGCACCCAATAGTCGATGGCACTTTGACGCGTCCAGCTTTACTCTCAACTTATGCGCTGTACGCGAAATCCAAGCCGACGAGGAGATCACGGTGTCATATATCCACCATCTTATACCGAGGGCTGATCGAGTTGGGAAACTTAAGGAAAAGTGGGGATTTGAATGCGATTGTAGAGCTTGCACTTGGGCATCTTCGGAGGCTCAAACGGCTAGTGATGATCGTCGCACCTTGCTGGGGGCCGATGAAACTCTTTTCAACAAATTCTTCTTGATGCCCTCCTCTCTAAGCGCTGATGATGAGAGGATCGATTTTGAGGAATTGGCAAAGGAGAGTGGATTGATCTACGAGGAACTCATTCGACGCGCCGAACTCTCTCTTGTCCGCCTAGATGACGAAAGACTAAGTGAAGAGCGAGGGACGATAATGGGAGCAATGGCAAACATCTATCATTATGGTATGGAGGATTCTATAAAAGCGAGTCAGGTCGCAAAAGAATGTTTGGATGTAGTCAGAGCGGTCAAAGGTTTTGAGTCACTCGAAGCAAGGAGGCTCAAAGCCTACATAGGATATGTGGGAGCAGATGAACGGACTTGAACGGTTTTGTCTTCAAGAGGTATTATGCATATATTGTTACGTTGTATATATTTCTCGGGCATCAATCTTCAATGCAGTATGGGTCTGTAGCCAACCTGCCAGTTTTAGAATTTCATTCATCTTCTAAGTAAAAATAGGGACCTGCTAAATTGATACTATCCAAGATACAAACTTTCATCGCTGATTGAAACTTATACAGATAATTGACCAGAGCTCTTCTAATATTTCTAAATAGTGCGCTACAAGCTCATAATATATGAGGATGAATTCTCATTCTCAAGGAATACTTGGACAAAAGTGAGATTTTCTTGACAGTCCAGACAAAGAGACGTGTTCTGGGGGGAAAGACACTTTCACGGTAGATTCTTGAGGTAAATTTGTTGTAGATGAAAGGATAGCAAAACAAAGACAAACAAAGAGACGAGACAAAAAGAGAAGACAAAAAGATGGAACCCAAGGATCCTGAATCCTATCCTATCCCCCCCTATCCTATCCTATGGGGCGCGAGAATTTTGCGATCGTCCATTTACCTGCATGGAAACAGTCTTCATACAAAATGTGTTGACCATGAAAACTGTGTAAATAAAATCTGTTTCGTACAATTGGGCACACGTAAAAACACTGTATTATGAACTGTAGTTTCTAGATAAGCCGATGTGTTGATTCTGACTGAAACTCAGGTTACCAACCGATCAAACTACTTTTATTTATATCGTCACAACAAAAACAACCTTCATCGTCTAAGCCTTTCCACTCATCTTTAGTAAGCTTCTCAGCTGTTTAGGCAATATGAGCTCATCGAAACTGCGACAATGGGTCAGCGATAGCATCTTGCGATTGTTCGAGATGTCGGATAGTGCGATGGTAGATTACATGATCAAGACAGCAAGTACTGCTACTACTCCAAGTGGACTCATCACATCCTTAACTCACGTCGGACTCAGCTCAACAGCTGAAACGGAATATTTTGCAAACGAGCTTTTCAATCGTGTACCGCGAGCTTCTTCATCCAAAAGTGTCGGTAAACAAGCAAAGAAGGAGGCAGCAGAAGCGGCGCGCAAGAAGTCTGAAATCGAGGCAAAGGCACTGCAAAAACAAAAATTCACACTTGTTTTAGATGAACAACCGGAAGAGAGAGTAGAAATTAAGAAACAAAAGAAAGATAAAGGGACTTTGAAGAAGAAGACTCAATCAGATAAAAATGGATGGGAAAGTGAAGAAGAAGATCGAGCAACTAAGAAACGAAGAAGATCGATTGATTCCAATAAATCTGGACTTGAAGATGAAATGGAAAAAGAAACTGAAGCAGAAAGAATAGAAAGAGAAAGATTAGAAGATGCGCGTGAAAGAGATGAATTTGCTGAACGATTGAAAGCTAAAGATCGAGATAAAACGAAAAAAATCGTAGAAGATAAAACATCTAAATTAACAGCTGATCAAATCCGACGAAGGAATCTCGAAAACGATGAAGAAGCTCGTCAAGCTGCCATGCCTGAAGTTAGGAAAAGAGCTCGACAGGAATACTTGAGCAAGCGAGAATTACAACAAATTGAATTACTTAAACAAGAGATTATGGATGAAGAAGCTGATTTCAAGGGTGTTGTGATGACTCAACGGGAAATCAGGGAATTGAATAAGAAAAAAGAAGTACTGCGACTCGCTCAAGAACGGATGGGAATCGATGATGGATACGATGGATATATGATGCCCGAAGGTGACAATTAAAAGCTTTGAATAGTTAACCGTGAGCTGATTGAATTGACACTTGTCCGATCATCATCCTTAGATTACATCACCGAACAAGGAAGGTTAGACAAGAAGAAAAAACATGATGCTCTGTACAAGCGTTACGAAGAAAGCAAACGACCAGCCGACGAATTTGTGACAGACGTTGATCGATATGAAGCTATTCAAACTCAAAATGCTACCACTAACTACGGTGCACTCGATCGACCATCTCTTGTCGAAGACTATGAATTTGTTTTCGATGAGAGTGCGACCATTGCCTTCTTGACAGACAATGATTCCAGAATAGGTGGTACTCTGAGTGCCAAAGATGCAGCTCTACAAGCACAGATTGATGCGGCAGAAAAGCGAGGTAAGTTCATTGTCTACGTGGAGATATTTCACTTTCACTTGCTCACGTTTCATTCTGCATACAGCCAAGTCTATAGATGAAGTACGAAAATCTCTCCCGGTATATGAATGGCGAGATCGGTTGCTCGAAGCTGTTGCAGAGTATCAAGTGATGATTGTGGTTGGGGAAACTGGGTCTGGAAAAACTACCCAGCTGCCTCAATATCTTCACGAGGCCGGCTACACGAAAGATGGTGGTAAGATAGGTTGTACACAACCACGAAGAGTGGCAGCCATGTCGGTGGCAGCAAGAGTAGCAGAGGAAATGGGGGTACGGGTAGGAGACGCGGTTGGGTATTCTATCCGTTTCGAAGACTGCACTTCCCCCAAGACAGTCATCAAATATATGACAGATGGGATGCTACTAAGAGAATTCATGACAGAGCCTGATCTTGCGGGTTATAACGCCATGATTATTGATGAAGCCCATGAGCGTACGCTGAGTACTGATATCTTGCTGGGCTTGGTCAAGGTATAATGCAAGTCATTCTGTCGTATATGTCGTTTTTATTTCATCAATCACAACTTCACTGACGCTTCGTTCACGCCTCATCGTTACAGGACATTGCTCGGTTTCGTCCTGATTTCCGGCTTCTGATATCCAGTGCTACCATGAATGCTGCCAAGTTTTCGGAATACTTTGATGATGCGCCGATTTTCAATAGTCAGTCTGAGGGATTTCAATTTGTTTGATCAATATCAGATGTTCACATCTCTACACTTTTTCCGTCTATCTGCTTAGTTCCTGGAAGAATGTACCCAGTTGATATCTTATACACTCCGAGTCCTGAAGCAAATTATCTACACGCCGCTGTCACCACTGTTTTCCAAATTCACACGACACAACCCAAGGGTGACATCTTGGTGTTTTTTACTGGTCAAGATGAAATTGAAGCTGCTCATGAAAACTTGGAAGAAACGGCTCGAGCATTAGGAAACAAGATTGGAGAACTAGTCATTTGTCCAATTTATGCTAACTTACCCACCGAAATGCAGGCCAAGATCTTTGAACCTACACCTGATAAAGCTCGAAAAGTGGTACTTGCTACCAATATTGCTGAGACATCTATCACCATAGACGGAGTGGTGTACGTAATCGATCCAGGCTTTGTTAAACAGAATTCATACAATCCTCGGACGGGTATGGAATCTCTAGTGGTCGTTCCCGTAAGTCCCACTCATATCAACATATGAGAACCTTGATGAATTGTTGCCAATGTACATCTTTTAGTGTTCCCGTGCTGCAGCAAATCAACGTGCAGGTAGAGCAGGTCGTGTGGCTCCCGGCAAGTGCTTCCGACTATACACTAAATCAGCTTACATGAAGGAATTGGATGAAGACACCGTGCCTGAGATCCAACGAACAAATTTAGCCAACGTAGTTTTACTACTCAAGTCACTCGGGATCAATGATCTGATCGGCTTCGATTTCTTAGATCCACCTCCTGGTGATACTTTGATCCGGGCTTTGGATTTGCTCTATGCACTTGGAGCGTTCAATGATCGCGGTGAATTAACCAAGATTGGTCGAAAAATGGCAGAATTCCCGATGGACCCTATGTTATCTAAAGCCATTTTAGAAAGTGAAAAACATAAATGCACTGAGGAAGTTCTTTCCATTGTGTCTATGCTTTCGGAGAGTAGTTCAATATTTTACCGACCTAAAGATAAGAAACTACACGCGGACCGGTAAGTTCTTCTGGCTGATAGATCTCTGCTCAGTGTTGGTCTTGATTTGATATAGTAATGATTATTGACGCCTTGGTTGATATAATCCAGGGCTCGACTGAACTTCGTTCAACCAGGTGGAGACCACTTCACGTTATTGAATGTGTTTGATCAATGGAAGGAGACAAACTGGTCTATCTCATGGTCATATGAGAACTATGTTCAGATCAAGTCCCTGAATCGAGTCCGCGATATTCGAGATCAACTTGCTGCTTTATGCGAACGGGTCGAAATCTTGCCCGAATCTAATGCCACAGGGTCAATAGAGCCAATTCAGAAAAGTTTACTAGGTGGTTATTTCATGAACACCGTTCGTAGCCTGTTTGTTTCTACGCTTGCCTTAGTCTTTGAGTTTGACTCTTTCCCTTTTTATAGGCCCGGCTCAGTAAAGGAGGTGACGCGTACAGGACTTTGAAATCGAACCAATCAGTTTATATTCACCCGTCATCAAGCTGTTTCCAAGCCCAGCCACCACCTCGAAGTAAGTCTAATGATTTTAGATACTACGGAGGCATGAAGTAGACGCGACTGATCCGATGCATTCTTCTGTAGTGATTTTATTCTATGAGCTGGTTTTGACCAGCAAAGAATATGCAAGACAAGTTATGGAGATCAACAAACCAGAATGGTTACTTCAAGCTGCTCCACATTTCTTCAAGGAAGCTGATCTAGAGGTCTTGTAAGTGATTTGTTTTCTCAACAACAAAAACACGTGGTGAGACATATTGATTGACTTGTGTTTTTGATAATGTTTGTACGTAGTGGTAAGAAAAAACTTCCCAAACAAACCCAAGTGCGTAAAGCAGAACAACTACCAGAGTAGATTACGTTTGAATTGTATTGTATTTTTCCTCAAATGATTGGACTGTATACGAGATTGATTTCTTGCGATCGAGCTAGCATTGTTAGAAGATCTCTATGAATAAAAAGTGAACAACGTGATAATTCCAGAAATGTCGAACAAAGACTGAATGATTTGAGATGCGGAGATTCAATCGCATATGTAAATCGTCTCACCTGCTCTCACTATGTACCTACCTCAACGCATACTTTCAGACCCATAGATCCATAATTTTGATTCTGTATGTCAAGAGATAGCCCAAATCTTCCTACAGATGAAGATGCTGTTAAGAAGCATCGCAGGGCTTTGATTTTTCACTTATTCTTCACAGTCCTGATTACCTCTTACTCAGATCCCCTTCCAACAATTTTTTTCATCTAAAAACTAGGTTCAGAAATACTTGAAAATCAATCAAATCAAACTTGGAGTGGATACCTTGAGTTTTGAAAATTCAATTGCTACCTCAACTTGTTTCAAAGACTATAAACTCTATGACACATTTGTGAATTGAGATGCAAATAAAGTGATGATTGATTATTCAGATGAGTTGACGACACTCAGACACTCAGGGTGCACCTGTGGAGAATGTGTGCAATAGTCAGGTATCAGAGGTTTGAGTCCATGCCGAGAGGAATTATTTTGGATTCAAGTGTTGTACATTTCTTGGAAAGGATCATCAAGTGGTAAATTTATATCAATGAAAAATCTATTAGAAAGCTTTATCAATCAAATTCCTGCGTCATAGAACATATCATATGTGGAGATACATAACAGACTACGTTATAATTATTGTCAAGGGTTATAAATGATATATACAAGCGTGTAAAACACCAATAAATGTTTCAACTATCCACATTGGTTCCCATGAGCTTTAAATCCTGGATCCTTGGGTATCCAGCCACCCTATTCACAAAATTAAATAAAGATCGATGAAAAATTGGTCAAAATAGTGTGATTTTCAAGTGAAGATAAATCTGACTGACCTTCACTCCAGCGTCATAAGTACCATCATCCGCATTCTCAGCTTTAAAAGTCCACATGATCCATCCTGAGGATTTTTCATAAACAGTTGTTTGCACTTCAAAGAATCTTCCCAAACTGTTCTTATATTCTTCTGAAAAAGTTTCACTAGATCCACTTTTTCCTACGCAAGATCCAATACGTTGAGAACCATTGAAAGTACCATCGTATCGTGATCCAATTGGCTGATGATTGATACTATTTGCACAATCTGTAGGACTAGGTGCAAATTCTCCAACAAATGTTAAAATCGCTGAATTACTCTTTTCTAATCCGTCAGCCATACGACAATAAGTAGCCACTCGTTCATCATCACTCATTTGAAGAGATTTGTTATCAAAGATTGTGTAGATATGTGTATCTAAAGCAACTCCTTGATACTTTGGTTTAGCAAAAGAGTCTGACCAGGTTTCAATTGGTTGGAATGCGTCATGTACCACATAGAGTAAATCAGACTGGGGACCTTCTTCATTCGGGTGTCGTACGATGCTGTATCCGTCTACCAAAAATATTTTCATAACGAAGTAAAAATTCGAGTGCTTTGTGAGAGATTCAAGACACTTCACATTTTATGAGATTAGCACATACCGTAAAAATATTGTTTGGCAGCATTCAGTGTCATATTACCATCCATAGCAAATCCAGCCGGCTCATTGAGTGACACTGGTGACTGTTCCCGCTATATCAGATACAACATTCAAATTTATTTAATCAATGATCCAATATTTGTGTTACGTAAAATATAAATGAACTCCTACCATATTTAGGTTGAGAAAACTCTTTGGCAATCACAGTAAGCGTTTGTTTTGTACGAAGGATATTCTTTGGGTCAGTTGCCCAATCTATTGGTCCTTTGCGCCCGGAATTGTCTACAATAATCACGAAAGACATCAGTATTTATAGATCAACTGCAGAAACTTCTACATGTCATTTCTCAGCCCTTACCAAAACCGTTCTGTGAACCAGGAGCGCCGTGCTGAGCCATTGATGAAATTTTCAGCATATAATGCTGAAACTCTTTCATTTGGAGATCTATGTGTTCCTCACCAAATCAATCATGACCTTAAGACCTGATCGTCTTGCCCATTCAACTGCTTGTTTGAGGTACTGAAACAAAAAGTCGTCAGCACCTGTGACTCAATATTCAGGGAGATAATTTCGAACGCTAGATGGGGTTGGTTTACCTCATACTGTCCTTGAACGTAGGGCTCTCCATCTGAGATGTCAAAAGCCCAATATCCTGAATTGTGAAAAGCATTCAGCTCGGGTTCCTTATGTGACTACCACACAAGCGCAAGAAGAGAGATTTGTGAAGACTGACCGATAGGGATACGGACATGATTAAGACCATATGATTTGATCCTTTGGAAATCAGATTCGTTGTAAAATGAATCCCAATGCGCACGTAAACGTTTGGTTGCTTCTTCTCGTCTTTTGAATATATAATTGTCAAAATTAGTCATCTTAATTTTCAAACAAGTGAAAAGTTGACCTTCCGTACCCTAAATATTGACCAAAGGTATATTCATCAATTATTCTGCTATCTCCAGTACGGTATAAGGATGGTGTAAGCCAGGATTCCGTTACGAGCCATCCGCCTATGTTGACACCTCGTATTTTTTCTTTACCGTAATCAAATCCGGGGTTGATAGGCTCATCCTCCTCGTCACACGCATAGCTTGTCGAGGTAGTCTCTTCCACTGAATCCAAACCTCGAGTACGTAGATCAACGTGGATGGGGACCATGTCAGTGTGAGCGCGTGCAACATGATGTCGAGTTTGGTGAGCATTTGAGTGCAATGACTGGGTTGAAAAGGTAACCTTGAAACTGAAGAACAAAGCGGCCCAGAATAACATAGCTTGTAGTAGGTGAGTCGAAAAGTATTAGTGGCGGTGGCTGTATGGCGAGCGAAAATGATTTGGTACAAGACTGATGGTTATGACCTTCAATCAGAGCTTTGCTCACAGTATAAAGATTAAGTAGGAATCAAGATTTTCTTTGAGATGCGAATTGGCTGAAAGGTCGACAACTCCTGGACAGCAAAGAAAGGTTCCTGCACACTTCATAGCAAATATAAGGTACACTAAACTGAAAGACCCTTGACACACTAGATCAGGGTCTTGCAACAAGGAGATTGAAGCTGTACCAATCTCATGACGACTGTTGATACGCGTGCGTTGGATTCGATTTGAGAAGATGTTTTGAACACCAGATCAAGAACAGGTTCCTGGCTTTTTGCGAAAGTCCAATGTTGACCTCATGATGTACTTGGCCGCGCTGGCTGTGTTTTCGATTCAACGTCAGCACACCGCAATGGCTTGTCTTTATGTTTTCTCGATACTGAATTTCACTGACGACAAGAAACAGCAATTGGAACTTTGCTTGTAGCTTCTCCTACATATTCTGCAACTGATCATAATTTTGCCTTATTGGCTTCGTGATCTTTATCAGGCGAGAACTTCAACAGGGTGGTCGAGCAGCCCACTTCCGAATTTTGATTTTCGTCTTGATCAAAAACGAGTCTGATGAATCTAGATGAATTCAATAGTGAAGATTTGAGCTCTGTTCCTTGAAGAAGCCACAAAATGGTCAATCAATCCTGACAACCATTCTTTGCGAACATCAAAAGTCTGATCAGGAGGACCGCGCCATAAATCCAACTGCAAGATAGACATCAAGCTTGATTTAGCCCCGTTGATGATAGAATCATTATCAGGTCGAGGACTTGCTGCAACCCAAATATTCGAGCGATCTCAAGAGATGTAACGTGGTGACTGGGCGCTGAATTCCAAATCGATAAACTCCAGTCCAAGCTCCTCCAAGATGCCTGTATGGCAGACCTTCAAGGTCCTGCATCCTGCAATCGACATCATAGCAAGTGGGAATCGTGGCGTTGTGATGCTTTGTTGTGAATGAAGTTCATATTTTTATATTGTAGTAGGTACCTTAAAAGGAAAGTGACCACCTTTAAAACCTCAAATCCATTCACAAAAGCCCATCCTGACCGATGACATTCAAAACCATGACGTCATCACTTTCAACCTTCACTTCTCTTTCAACTCTGAACCCAAAAGATATACCAACAGAAGAAACCGAACTGAAAGCCTTCATATCAAAGATTGTCTCAGAAGCTCAAGCTAAGATTGATTCAACTGATACGTGGAAAACTGGAAAAGTTTATCAAAATGGGATTGTAACGACCAAAAGTCATCAATTTTCCGGTGAGAAATTCAAATGGCATCTTCGAGAAAGTTATCATAACATTTTGGATCAAAACTCTTCCCTTGAAAATGATTTGGATGGGATCGGATGGGATATGTTTTATGATAACTTGTTTATGAATCATACTGAGAACGAGGTCAAATATATTGAAAGTCAGTCTGGATTTGGTCATTCTTGATCGCATCATATATCAAGTGGAAGTGATGAGTGACAAGCTGAAGTAGTCTTTAACTCTACGATTTGTTTGGGTGAAATAACTAGGTTGTGAGAGCGCACACAAACTTCAAGTCATTAAACAAGGAAGCGCAGAGAGTAAGTAAGAAGTACATTTTGATAATTTATCAAATCTTCCTCATAGGATGTCAATGAAACTGATTTCGTGTCCTAAAATTTTGATTGATTGCGGTCTGAAAACCTTTAATGGAATAAAGTCTGGCGGACATGCTATAAGTTAGCATTCCCAATGACTGATAGAGATTTCGTCTTTCTGATCCTTACGTAAGTTGAAGACATTCTAAAATAAAAACAACGATGTTGAAAAGGGTACAACTAATCAATCTTGACATCTTCAAGCCAGGAGACGACTCCAGATCCAACTGGTCCGAGATCTTTCTTAATAATCTCCTTACCAATTCTTCATCCATTCCAAACAGGTCATACCCGAGGAAAATACATCAGCATTGAAGAAGTCAAAGAAGAGATTCTGACTTCTAATGATAATAATCAACTTGAAAGAAAACGAATCAAATGGAAGATGATTATTCAAAGTGATGCCGGAGGAATGGTTCCTATTTGGATAAGTGATTTAGCACTTCCTTCCAAGATAAGTGAAGAGTAAGTTCTTATGTCATCTTCACCCGGATTATTAAAAACATCTCAATGATAAGTTGAATTTCCACTTTTTTATTTATTTGCATCTCATCCTTTCCATAATCAGTGTTCCAAGCTTCCTAAAATTGAAACAAAATTCGAAATAGAAATAGGCTTGGTACAAATGTGAACCTGGTACATGAATCTGGTTAATGACGTAGAGACGGCAGGGCTGATCTTCTGACGTTATGTTTTACTCAAGGGCACCATGTTGACGGTGAAAGTAGACCAGTTTATACTTTATTGACGTTCAGAGGTAATGGAAAAAATGAATCCAACCGCATCCTAGTCATCGGGAATTTGCCTCGGATGAGGACTCATGAGTCATGATGACTCATTATTACTTTATTCAAGTTGAAATCGGTTTGGCTTCCCTCACTTGCAGAGTTGTATTTATGTATAAGTTTAGCTCTGTTGCATCTCGTTCGGTGGATAAAGGCCATCATGATGATATCAATATTTTAGAATTGAAAAAAAACACGAAAAAAGAGGTAAAGATTACACGGTGAATTGAATCATATCTATCTATTATTCATTAGGAATCATATGCTGCGAAAGAAAAAATTATCAACAAAAAAAGGGAAAAACAAATGTCGAGTATCGAAAAAAACATCGGAACTCTTAGACTGTTTTCGAAATCCATGATTTGTGAATTCCTTTTAAAGTCAACAAAAGCTAAAAGTTGAATCTTAGGTGTCAGCTAAAAAGAAAGAAAGTTCCCTTTCAATCATCTCCAACTTCCTACTTGACTGTTTGCACGACTGATGCCCGGCGTGCCACTGTGAGATGGTCCAGGAGTGTTACCCCAAGCTCTCATCATACCACCAGGTGCAAGTGCAGAAGGTACACCAGTAGAATGATTTGGTGGTCCGATCCTTTCTGTTAATCGACTAGGAGGTCTAGTAGAATGATTACTTCCAGATTGATAATTATTAAAGTTAGCTCGACTGTCAGGTCGACTAGGTGCACGTGAAGAATCAGCTGCTAATCGTTCCTCTGAGTATCGATTGAGGAGTGAGACAACCCCTTCAGTCAATTTTTCTAAATCTTTAATCTCATCTGAAGTTAGCTCTTTTACTTCTGGTGGTGGGACTTCTTCTTCAGGTTTATCTTCCTCTTCGTCTTCTCCTACCTCATCTGAAACACTGTTAGCAGCTGAATCAGGATTGGGTGCCACATTACGCGCTGAATTTTTAGCAATAGTTTGGTGGACGATCTTGGGTTGATGTTTGCGAAAGATTTGAGCTTGTAGACCGTCGAAAACTCGTAAGAGTGACGCATCAAGTACCTCCTTTAGCCTTTCAACATCATCCAGTGCACCTTCATTGCCAGTTATCGGAAGCCAACCATCACATTGAAGTCCTCGTGGATAAGCCTGCAGTCGACGGGCTCCGAAGAGCATGTAACCAAGTGGGTCAAGTCTGGTTGTTGACCTCAATGACATTTGACCTTGTCCCTTCTCGCCTGGTCGAGGAAGTGATAAACTTTTTTCACCAAAGGCAAAGAGTTGGCGTTCATTTTGTAGCGGAATATCATCCGCTGCTGCTGCTTCTTTCTTATGAGAGTTTACACTCGAGAGGTTGATGAAACACGTCTACAAGGTTTTGTTAGTTCAAAGAAATCATGTTCAGGATCAGCTTGTCAAAATCTCCCAGAGCAAAAAGAAACACGCACCCGATCCTTTTCTGTGGCCATGACTTTGGTGCTCTTTCTGACCGCAAAGTTCGGCGCGACAGCCACTGCAATCAAAGCAGCCAGCAATGGCAAGCTATCCGAATTTTTATTTAATTGCGGAGGTATACCAACCTGGTGTCGGTGTCGATTATTGGATTCACCACCTCCACTAATGGCGAGCACACCAGCACGTCGTAATGAAGAAAGCAAGTGAGTTTTGACTTGTGAAATTTGGCCCAAGGTGGGTTTCGATAAAAAGTTCTCATTAGCAAATCGATAGGCACGCTGAGTTTCATTTCTATCTTGAAACTGAGACCATGCCGTGAAAGCAGCTAAACAGGCTAGAGGATCTGATCGAAAGGCAAAGGGAGCCCAAGATGATTTGATTCGATCGGCCTCTGTCTTGGCTGATGGTGGGGAGAGGAAAGGATCTCTGTTGGTTAAGATAGCAGCAAGATTGAGAGCCGGTTCAAGACATTTGAAGAATGAGCCTAGCAATAATAGTTTTCCTATTTGAGCTTCCACCGGAAGTTGAAGCAAAACTCGACCAAGAGCAGTAAGATCTTTAAATCTGTCCAATGCGCCAATGGTTTGAAGGTGGGACATGGCTGCAGATACTCGTTCTCTTTCAGGAGGCTCGATTGTTTGATCCAATACATCTTCAGCTTCCATATTAGGAAAATTCAATGCCTTTACATGCATTACCAAATTACTCAAGTCTGTCCTCTTCATCTCGACGGTCGAATGAATATTGAGAGCTTCATATCTCCTGCGACTTAATAGGCCGTAGTAGTCTCCCGCTCTGTGACGTCCAGCTCTTCCGGCACGCTGATTGAGATTAGAAGTGCCTACCCAAGCTGTCACAAGCGATGAAAGATGTCGCTCAGGGTCAAATCGTTTTTCTTTGATTTTTCCAGTGTCTATCAAGATGCGCAACAAACAAATCAGTGAAAGTCTTGGAGAGTGAAGAGAAAGAAACATACTTACCGACCACAAATACCACATCGGGAATCGTGACAGACGTTTCGGCAATGTTGGTGGAAAGTATAATTCTCCGGACACCTTCACTTGGTGGTGTGAAGACTTTTTGTTGATCGACCACAGGAATAGCAGAGTGTAAGACGTGTACTTCGAAACGACTGGAGTCATTGAAGTTCAAGCCGAGTAGAGGGAATTGAACATTATCTAACAAGATATTCTGAACTCCTTTGATTTCATCCCAACCAGGCAAGAAAACGAGAACATGTCCATCTGTCGATTTTGACAAAACCCACGCTACGACCAAAGCAATCAGTGCATAAGGCATCTCGAGGTCATCACTATCACGTTGAACTTTTCCGCTGTGTGGATCTATGTCTAAGGGTTCCTGTAGTTCGCGGTGCATGTATTTACGAACTTTTTCGTCGTTCCATACCCAGCCACCTCGGTTTTGGGGAAGCGCGAGTTTGACTAGTTGACCGTTCAGTTCTTCAAGGTAGTGTTTTTCAACAGGAAACGAGCGACCAGGAACAGATATAACAGGAGCCAGCTTCTCCGTCTTCGAATCAGCAAAGTACTTCTCAAACAACGAAGGATCGACTGTGGCAGACCTGGGGTAGAAATAGAGCTCATTAGTTCTCAAAGCTGAATGAGACATCGTTCAGGTAGAAAATGAGTGGACACACATCAATAGAACTTTGATTTCTGGTTTGCCCTTTTCTTTTCGGTCTTTCAGGACTTTGCGAAGACAAAACAGCAGTAAATCGGTATCGATATCACGCTCATGAACCTCATCGACGACGACATGAGTGATCGGGTCCAGGAAAGCTCCATCAGCGCTCTCCATGTCATTTTGTAATCGTCTGAGGAAGACTCCAGTGGTGCAAAAAAGTATACTCCCATCGGGCGTCGGAGGTTTAGCTTCGAATCGTACTTGATAACCAACCGATTCACCTAATTGCTCATTTCTCTCATTTGCTACCCTTTGTGCAACACTGATGGCAGCAATTCGGCGGGGCTGGGTACAGATTATATTACACTTTGCGCCATTGCCTCGCATCGTAGCTGAATCCAAAATGAGCTGAGGGACTTGTGTAGTTTTTCCTGAACCCGTCGCTGCCATCAAGATCGTGACAGGGTTGGTGGCTAGTGCAGAAAGTACCAAAGAAGCATGGGCCGTAACAGGAAGAGCAGTCCGCTGTTCGCGTAAGGCCACTACGTGGCGTTTGTCATCCGTTTGATACTGACCTAGACGATCTGAAAGCACCTCGGATTTAGCCGTCAGAGCGTCCTGCCGTGCCTTATCTGACAGTGAAGGGTTTGAACGTCGTGTATTTGACCGTACAAGAGTTTGTTCCACCAATAAGCGTGAACCACGAGCACTTTCCAACATGACTTTGGCGCGACGATATAGTTCGCTTTCTCTTGAGGATCTAACTAGATCACGAAGATCATCATCCATCTCGTTACTCAGTCTGAAGACAACGTCCGGTACCGTGCCAACATGTGCATTCTGAGCTTCACTGCTAGATTGAAATTCTGCCCAAAGTTCAGGGTCGCATTCGGATAAGTAGACTACCGTGTCTTTATAAGCTTCATTGGAAGCATCCTTCTTAGCACGAGACACCCCCATTCCGATCCGTCTTCCACTCACAAACAGGGTGGCGGACCAAGATTCGCGTCCTTTAGGGTTTCGTAAGTTTTCGTAGGTGATATCAGGTTTTCCGAAACGAAACTTGCGACAATAGAAATCCATATAAGCTCTAGCTTTATCTAACGTAAGAGCGGTTCCATCCGAAAGAGCGTGAGAAGAAGTACGAGTCGAAACCGGATCGATAGGAAGGTTGTTGTTATCAAAGAGATTTTGAGAGCCAAGTTGAAAACAGGCAGAGAGGGCCGCTAGTTTTTCCGCTTCCTTTTTAGATGGGTCATCGCCAGTTCCAATAATATTGGTGCCGGTATCAGCTACAACAGTGACTCTTTGAAGTGTATCGCCAATTGAATTCGAGAGACGGATCGTGATATTAGGTAAGGAACGATATGTCAGACTGAATGTACACCAATGAATGAATTTTGAAGGAAAGAATGAGAAATTCTTGCCTGAAAACTGGTACGGTAGAGCCGGGAACCATGACCTGCTCGGCAACATAATTAGGTGGCTCCTGAGTACGCGCTTGAATAAAATTATTGATGACACCTTTTGGGTTTGAAAGCCACTGTTTACGTGGAGCAGAAGAGCCAGACCAAAGAGAATGGACGTATTCTGAATTGCAGAGCGGAGCTTCACGGACCGGGAGATTGGGTCGTAGTGAGCGAGATGGATGAGGATGAGCGCGAGCACCTCGTGAGCGGCCTGCTCCTCGCCTGGAATTGGGCTGGTAACGGTTTTGATCGACACCCAAATTTGAAGATGGTCTAAGATTATCCGAGGAGGGACCCGCACGCCAATTAGATTGATCGGCCATATTTTTTAGGTGAGTCGGAAGAAATGAGGAAGGTGGTAGTGGTGAACTGAGTCGATGATTCGAAGGAGGTGATTGAGTAGCTTGATTGAGAAGCGAAGTAGATGAAAGATTACGTTTGGACATTAGTGAGGAGATGATCGGCCGCTTGAATGAGAAATAGGCTGAGGAGACGACCGAAGAGGAGAGCAAACCAACCCGTGGAGACGGGAGGCGGCGATGAGTACAAACAACGTAGGTAGCCAAGGTGAAGTCAAAGAACTTGGCTTTCGATCGACTTCAAAGAGAAAAATCAAAAAAAAGAAAGAAAAGAAAAGACAGCCCGATTGAAATTTTGAGAGTCTCACATTCAAACTGATACTCAGACTCAGCCAATCGAAATTTTTGCAGTAAATTATCAAAAATTCATTGCAGCGTCATACAATTCTCAACACCACATCCTCAGCACTGGCAGGATACATTGGTTGTATTCCCGAAGATCCAATCAGGGAAAGTACCCAACAAATCTCACTTGACGTGTAGGTAGCTCGCTTGATAGGACGAAGGTAACACTCGAGTACACCTACTCACATGCAATTGGCAATTCAAGAATGATTGAAGAGCCCTCGGTAGCTGAACACATCATTGGGTAAAGTACAGAGTATGAAAAGGGTTTCTTTGAAGAAAACATCTTATCCAGCTGTGCCATGAACAGCATTCCTGTGTCATTGAACAAACCCCTTCCTCATAAGCTTTGAGAATGGCCCTACACGCTTTGTACCATGTAAAGATTGCCACATGATTGAGGTACCAAGTTTATCAAATGTCATTCACTGCCACTGTATCTGCATATCAAGAGATCAAACAAAATTGCAGAGGGGTCTTGGCCACTACAACAAACAATCACATCCTTTGCTGTATATATTTTAACATATGACATCTTGTAAGTGTGTGGCTTCCCCCAACCCTCAAGTTCAACTGTTCTGGGGTCTCTGAAACCCTTCTGGCTCTGAGTATCTGGTCATGAGAAGCAGAACTCTGCTGTTGGAAGTTTACATGCCTGGCCTGGCAACTGGTAGTTGGCTCAATAAGAAATTGTTAATGGACCTCTCTTGCTTTTGTTCAGCACACCCCCTTGAGTCATCTCCCTTTCCAATGGTGATTTTGCCTCTCACTAATTGCCTTGCATTGCACTGAGACCTCTTACAAAAACAGCAAGGATAATCAACAAGGGTCTTGTATTTCTCTTCAGAGGGTTGTCTTTATTACATGGAAACGGCAAAGGTATTGAGCAATCTGGTACAAGTCCTGGAGAGATAAGTTGAAGGAACCTTCTGGTAGAAAGAAGCAGGAGGAGAAGTGTTTGTAGACTAAGGCTCTTTTGAGTACTTGTTATTTGCTGAATCTTAGGGTTTGGGGGGATGAAATATCTGAAATGGCTTCAAGGGAGGCTCTCAAGCTACATGTAACAAGAAATACACTGTCTCCTTGATTAAGTAGCTTGTTCATCCATATAAAATGAATCATAAATAGACATTCTTGTGCTACTGTCCGACTCCTGTGACTGCAGTTCTCCTTCTTTATTTCCTCATGTTTTTAGACTTTCCCCATAAACCCTTCATTTCCCTCACCAAGAAAGTACTAGTGCTAATTTGATTTCTTCATCAGTTGTCCATGATATCTTGTATACAGTACTCACCACTTTTGTTACCTATTCTTCTGGAATTGAAGAAAAATCATGCTATATTTTCATGTACATTTGTGGTATGATAGGTTATGAGGAAAACATCTTGTGCTTGTTGCAAGTCTTTCGAAGCAGTCTGAGGCTTATCTGTATGGGTCATTGAGCCACCTCTGGGTAATCTGGGTCTCTGAAATTTGTTCTTGAGAAAAGATATATATGCCAAGCTGGCAGTTGAACCTCGGGGTGTATGCCAGAAGCATTTCAGGTGTAGCTTTGTCTGTCATAAGGAGTTTTTTAAAATGTTATTTCTCATCAGGTTGGGCTCTACAGGCACACTTTAGGTTCAACCCACCCCTTTGTTACACAATGCTTTCTTGAAAGTTAATCAGAACATTCAATATATCTGCACAAGCATAGCTGCCAAAGAGAATCACAAAGCATCAAAGTGAGATGGAGGCCTTGATGCAGTACAGTGGTAAATTTGATTGGCCACAGCGGGGCTAAAAGTCAGCGTCAGAAGATGATGTATCAGACCCGAGACGGACTCCTACCTCGAGTCCGCCTCGGGGCGTCTGTGTAGTATCATTAATTACACCCCGGTTTCGCCCGCAGAATTTTTGAAGGCACAATAAATACAATCTTCGTGACAGCGATGAGCTTCATTGTTCACTTAATGTTTTTTGGACTCAATTTGTTCGCCAATCAATCCTCAACCATCTTCAGAGTGCCCCTCAGCAGATCCAAATGGAAGCCGGACCTACACCTGATGCAGCTCTGAGTCGAAGGCTGACAAACATTCGACATATCCTACTTGTCCTCTCCGGCAAAGGTGGAGTTGGAAAGTCATCAGTCTCAGTACAAATCGCACTTTCTTTATTGCACTCGCGGCCTGGTGTACGTGTCGGACTTCTGGATATCGATCTCACTGGGCCATCCATTCCTCGCATGCTGGGACTCCAGGGTCGGTCAGTCTTTCAATCCAACGATGGATGGATTCCCGTTCAAGTCGATCTTGCCAAGGATCTACAAGCCAACAACGAGGATGCGGTTGCCTCGGATGGTCTCCTGAAATGCATGAGTATTGGATTCCTGCTAAAGAATCCTCAAGACAGCGTTGTATGGAGAGGGCCGAAGAAGAATGCAATGATTCGCCAGTTTCTAGTGGACGTACAATGGGGCGAATTAGATTGGTTGATCGTGGACACACCGCCCGGTCGGTTACTCTTTTGACCATTCCCTCGCTAGTCTTGAGACAAGAAAGGATGAGCCTTTATGTGTCGCCAAATCCAATTTCAATTATCAGAAACTGATTGATCGTATTCTTTTTGCAGGTACATCCGACGAGCACATCTCACTACTCGAACAGCTGGCACCCGCCCTCATCGCACGTTCGTCCTCAGATTCACCGAATGCAAGACTACCAACCTTGTCTTCCGTCTTGGTGACTACTCCGCAAGCAGTCTCTCTAGCAGACGTGTCCAAAGAACTCGACTTTGCACGTAAAACTGGTCTGACGGTTATCGGCCTGATCGAGAACATGAGCGGATATCTATGTCCCCATTGTAAGGAGATTCAACATGTATTTGGTGGTGGGGGTGGTGAAGCATTCTGTGCTCAAGTGTCGGCCAAGGCAAAACTAGATGGTTCCTCCGCCGACACCGCTCCTCTGACGTTTCTCGGCAAGGTTCCGATCGACGTGGAGTTTATGAAGTTGATGGATCAGGCGATGTGGACAGATCCAAACAAAGAGCCTCGAGATGGTAGTGACGTGTCACAAACACAAGAAACTCAGCATGTCAATTGGGACTTGATTCGGCGGTACGCCGAGGTCCCCAGCTCGAAAATTCTCGGACAGATCTGCAAGAAGATTACTCAGGTCATTGAGCCAAAATATGTCTCTTGAACGTCTGTATCATCTCCAAATAGAGTTCATATCCTGATGGAGCATCACGCCATGTCAAGAACCGCCAGATTCGATACCCAAAGATAATATCTCAGGAAGAACCCTTACGTCTGATTCTCCGCGAAAACCGATCCAGTGAACATTTTCCACAGGTGCGATTTCTTGTGATGATGACGAGAGGTGGTCTTGTTTAGAGATGGGGGGGTACATATATGGTATATTCCCATCATACCTACTGTCACACTGCTATGCCAATCATCGCTTAGGCAAGCTTAACTTGGCTGTCAGATTGATTCCAGCATTTCATGATCCATTGGAAAAGACAGCACTGCGTGTACGACTTTTGTCTGGCCTGATGTACCTCTTGCAATTCATGCTGGCCTTGTGTACATCAATTTCAACCTACCAAATAGGACACAATACACAGACAAACTACAAAAACTACTCTGGCATCAACAAAAGTCCACTTCACCATTTCCAACTCCATTTTCAATATTGAATACCCTCACACTGGATAAGTTTTCATGTCTGCGGCATGGAAATTATTTAGTTCCAGGGACACAACCATCCTAGCCAATTCACCCATGTGATGCTATTTAGCACTTTGGTTTGTGACTCTCAGGACCCTGAGAAGCATGGCTTGCCCACTTCCCAAGTGATTTAAAACTCATTAATTTATGAATCAAAGACAATCATGGAATATATACAAGACAAATGTCCAAATTAGCATGGTAACCTCCACAAAAACATCCATCAGCACCCCTCAATCAACCTCCTGTGACACTGGCAATTCTGAGTGAGGCTGTTAATCAAGAGAAATCAACTGTAAGCTTGCAAAGGTGGGCCAAACTGTTCATCCCAAAGACAAGTTGACATATACCATGCAGTTTTGATGTCTAATTGATCATAGATGTTCTGGACATATAGCCAATTCCTCAAAGAAAGGTCATAATTTGGTGGACAATGATTAAATGACTGGGATACTGTGGCAGTGTAATCTCCTTCAGCATGCTCACTTATAAATTCACCTCCTTAAGTGATGTGGGACATCATACTTTGTTTGGGGTATGGCAGCTTATCTTCACCTCTCTTGTGCTAGTCTTTATCTACTTGACAACAATCAACTCAAGTTGTCCAATCTAACTTCTTGATATAAGCAAGCAAAAAGCCAAAATACCAATTGGAGTTGAAAATGAAATGTGCACCTGGTTTATAAACAATTGAACCATGACTTGAGGCTCAAGGTGTGATGGACTTCTGAGCATTCTACAATCACAGGATTTGTGATTTTTTTATCAGGTTGTTGTATTTAACTGCAGTACAGATGAATGTAAGGGGGACATCATAAAGTGTCAGGGTGGCTATTAGAAACCAAGGGAATTGGTCTAGTTTGCTTACTTTCATGTCCTGACAAATGTATTACTGTGTCCGTAAGATCTATAGCAATGCAGTTCTCTTAACCTGCAAGGGAAAGAACAACACACATCAAAATCTTCCAAGGACTGTAAGAGAGGAGTATGGTGGTGGGACTGCTACTCACTATAAAGTTACAGAATTGAATGGTAAGATGATAATCCAGGTGATTTTCAAAGGATTGTATCCTGAGGATAGCCTGTGCTTGAGAAAAACAACAGGGATCCTGTCAACTTCCTGTCAACTAGACATTGCAAAACCAGTGGTATGTGACCAAGGAATAAGTACCCTATTTCTAGGAGTAGTGAGGAGTTTTTCCATAGAATTGACTGGAAAGCAAGGAATTACCTACAATAGGGGTTTTTCAAAGTCAAGAATTGGTTAAGTCTTTTTGTCAGTTAAAAAAGAGGGTTTTTTGGACATTTCCTTCAAAGATGATTCTAGCCATGTGTTTACTCTAGGAAGAGGAACTGAAAACAGCAGTTGGCTTCTAGGATAGTCAAGAACTGGAAGGGGAAAAGAAGGTGAGTCATCTCTGTAGTAAGGAGGGTTTATTCCATTTATATTCTTTGTTCTTGGTAGGCCATGTGCTTGTGGTTACCACTTGGACTTCCTGGTCTTGGTAGGTCAGCTTGTGGTTGGCACTTGTACTTCCTGGTCTCAGTAGGCCAGCTTGTGGTTATGGCTAGTCTTTCTGAGTCTGTGAAGGGTCAGCCTGTGGCTCAAGATGAATCTGGTTCTACAATGTTTGATAAGTTTGGACTGTTTACACTTTTGGCAAGCTGATTGTTTAATCTTTACACTTTCAAAAACCTGGTACAAATACCAGGTTTCTTGCTTGAGTCTCAGGCTTACTTATTCTTTGGTGTAATTCTTGGTTCTCTGTGTAAGTATGCTTATTTTCATGATTCATGATTATGATTATGATTACTTGTTTTTGATACTTTTGTCTTTTAGACATAAGGTGTGAGTTTATGATAAGGAATGAAAGATATCTTGTCTGTCTTTGAAACTGGACATGAAGATGTAATTGTTTGTCTCTGATACTCAGATGTAAGTTGTGAGGTTATTACAAGAAGTGGAAGGGGCTTTTCTGTCTTTGATACTAGACATGGAGATGCAATTGTTATTTGATTAATTATCATTATTTCTCCATTGGTGTATTCTTCTGGAGTCTTTTTGGCTTTTGCTCTGCAAAACTTCAAGGGCTGACATAAATGGTGTTGAAGAGACATAGGATGATGGTGAATGGTAGACAGAGATAAGCATTGGTGTTTCTGGCTATTACATATTGATGGATGACAATCAATCCTTTTATGGTCCAATGATTTCTGAAATCTATATTACCAGAATTTAATTCAATGAGTTGCATCCCTTGCCATAGTATCAAGAGAATGACTCACATTGATAAGAAAGGAGCTCAATCAATTCAAAAAACTCTTTATGCTCAGTACTAAAAAATCTTGATCATGTGTATAGGCAAGACAAGCTGTTTCAAGCTTGATGACACCCTTGACCACCATTTTATTGAATGCTGAGTGTGAAATAATGTTACAAGACCCAAAAGTCTTTCCAAGGTAAGATACTGAAAAAGGTGCCTCAGGACAAACACACGGAAGAACAAGCAATCATGTTAGGGTGGTCAAGGTTGGCAAATATCATTTTGACAATTCTACAGTTGGTAAAGGAGAAGCTCAACCACACACAGAGAGCGGCCCCAGCCCAAATAGCCACATATTTTTCCAGCCTTTTTTAGGGCCGTTTTGTCCCCAAGAGGGACCAAGGTCTCACAATTTTCCCAGTTTTCACCTCTGTTAGTCTCTAATAATTGAAAAATTCATTTTGATTATGGCTAATCGTGCTTCCCGAGCCCAAAAACGTCGATGGAAACTCCAGCGCAAGGCAGAAGAGGACTCCAAAGCATCACCTCCAATATCACCTCCAATATTACCCAAAGATCAAGCTAAACAACATCAACTTCAAATAGACCTTACTCAAGAAGACAAAGATGACCCCTTGGAACCTTTTGAGAATCCACTACCTCTAATTCCACCTGAAAATCAAGCTGAGACACACTGGGTTCAGATACATCATACTTATGAAGATGAAGACGATGAATTAGAACCTTCTGATATTACACAATTTATTGTTGGTGGCATTGGAGACTCTGACGATGACGATGCATGTGATCAAGTGCTTATACAGAGTGTGTTATATCCGGTTTTTCTCCAACCTTGCCCTTCAAAGCCAACACTTGGGAAACGTCAACACCATTCCGGTCACAATCTCAAACACTATAAACGACCAATGATGGACCCAATTACAAAAAAACTTAAACCACGTCCACTTCCACAGTCAACTAAGCATAACTACAAGCTTGCAAGAGACAAGGCTATTGGTAAAAATAACATGTTTATGGCTAATTGGCTTGGCCAAGGCGGGGAATCTCCCTCTCTCGCACCGGATCCTGAAAGCACTCAATATTCCAATTCTGCAACCAAATCAGATACTGAATACAAATCAAATTCATCAATTGATAAGAGCACCACCTCTC